TTTTCAAATTAATTTAGAAAAATAGAAATTTATTATTTCAGTCAAATAACTCTATTCAACGTGTGCTTATTTTTGTCAATAATGACATGTATTGACTATTTCCATTTTAAATATCTTGAGAGCGGTTACTGTAGCGATTTTACCAAGAGACATTTTTACGTAAAAAGTCATGGAAATGTATATATTTTTTTAGTCAGTAGTTTTATACAGGTACGGACAAAAAGTTATTACTCTTTAAAAAGTCAAAACGCATGTAGGTGGCGCCCCTACAAATAGGAATCATTTTGACATCAAAATCAAATTTCTCGTGTCACAACACTTTTAGACACCAATTTTCATCCAAATATTGACGTTACTTCAGAAATTATTTAGAAAACCCGAAATAAAAATGAAACTTTTACACCCTGTATCTCCGAAAGTAAGTATTTTAGGACATACATTTATACGAAATTTTTTACTTATTTTTATCTGCAGAATATGCTGCCGAAGTTTCCGGAATACAGTTCGACCAACCCTGTATATACAGAATATGCTGCCGAAGTATTTCCCGAATACAGTTCGACTACCCTGTATATCGAGTAACAATTGTTGAATTTGACATTTAACATCAGTTTAATGTTATATTTTTGTACTTTAAAGTGCTTTACTTATATGCCTTGGCTTTAAATGACCTTACAGGGTTGTTCACCACATATGATACACAATATTAGTATTACAACGATTAGATTTTTACAATTGTAAGTTTTAGTTCGTTGAAGACTGCGCAGAGCTACAATTTAAAAATAATTTTAGTCAAGATACAGTGTCCCAATAGTAAAAAATATTATAGTTGTGTTTTTTTAAATGGAACACCCTGTATATTATTCTATTTTAGATTCTACCACTAAAGTTGTAATTTGATTACAGTTTATCGTACTTAAACCTTGTTGTTCTTAAATATTTTCAATTTTTGAAAGTGCAGTAAAAAATTTAAGGCTTTATCAAGGGGTATTAAAGGTTTTAAAATACTAAATATTTACTGAAGATTATTTATTAATCAGATATTATGTTGCAATAATAAAAATTGTACTACCTTATCCAGAGTGTTCAAAAATTATATTAAATAATTACTATGAAGCGGCAATAACTTCTTTAATTTAAAATGGAACACCTTGTATATTTTATATGAATCAGATGCACAATTTAATTGTCTATCAAATTGTATTATACCATTTTTTACCTATGTCTTCAAGTTTTCGTAGAAAATGCATTTTGTTATTATTTAGACCTACTATACAGGTGGTAAAATAATAATATTGTAAGCCCATTTGTTTACAAAAAGAAAATTATTTAAATCTTTTGTAAAAGAGTATACTAATTATTACTAATTATTAATATACTCCGCCTATGATTTCCGCCTAACAATTAGTTAATTACATACTTAATTGTTTTAATCACTAAATTATTCTAAATAAATGTGGATTTGACTCAAAAATCAATACAATAATAAGTTATGTAAATGAACGTCTCTGTTGTTCTAAATAAGCTTTCTGTCAAAAAATAAAATAAAATTTGTGGGTGTTACCCTGTGTTTTTTACCACACTGGCTAATACACATACAAAATTCAGGTTTTAGTACTTGGAGCAATTATTGTTAATCAACGTAAACAATCAATTAATGTAGTTTAAATACTGGGATCATATTAATTGGTGCTATTTAACAAATTTTTAAACAGTTTTTCTTATTTTTTAATGAAATAAGCGAATTATATCGACCATATTAGTATCTGCTACTTTTTGAAAATTTGTTACATTTTTTAAAAATCATCTAAAATGTCAATATTCCATGGGTACCTTATATTGATAAATGAGGTCTAAATTATAAGAAAATGCTACTTCTACAAAAAACTTGAAGAGATAAGTAAAAAATGGTATAATACAATTTGATAGACAATTAAATTGTGCATCTGATTCTTTTTAAAATATACAGGATGTTCCATTTAAATTAAACAAGTTATTGCCGTTTAAAGCTAGTAATTATTTAATATAAATTTTTAGACACTCCTGTATAAGGTAGTATTTTGTTTATTATTGCAACACAAAATCTGACCAATAAATAAATTTCAGTAATTATTTAGTATTAATTAATTATTATTATTAGTAGTAATTATTTAGTATTAATTAAAAAAACTTCAACACCCTTGGAGAAATGAAGCCTTAAAATTTTACTGCAATTTCATAAAATTAAAATATTTCAAAAACGGTAAGGTTTAAGTGTGATATACCTTAATCAAATTTACCTTTATTTTAATCGTAGAATCTAAAAATATAATAATATATAGGGTGTTCCATTTAAAAAATAGAACTATAATATTTTGAACTTATTTGGGACACTCTGTATCTTGTAAAAATATTTTCAAATTGTAACTCTAATAGTCCTTCAACAAACCCAAAATTTACAATTTGTAAAAATCTAATCGTTTAGCTACAATACTCCGTGTCGTATGTGGTGAACAACCCTGTGTTGTGTGACGTTCAAACAAAAATTATTCATTTGAATTAAATCAGACTCTATTTTTACTTGTCCCATCTTATTCTTTAATTCTCTAATTATCAGTGCTTCGCATGATGCAAAAAACTATAGCTGCCTTTCAAGAAATATGTATATCACATTAGGCTTGTATTTTATACCTGACTTTACATTAGCAAGTAGAGTGCTTATTTAACAATGCAAATTGCTAAATTCTCCTATAATAAATTTTAGAAATAGAATTTCGCCTCTTGTTATTGCTGTAATTTGCATAATTATTTCCGGAATTCTGTCAGTTGATATAGGGAAATTTATTTGCATGAGAAATACCAATTTTGATTTAGTAATCCTATAAAGAAATTCTCCATTGAAGCTAATATTGATGTAAGTAAACTATTTATTAAAATTATTATGTAATCATTAATTTTTAGAGTAATAGTTGAGAAAATTTTTATTATTATTCGATTGATGAAGAAAAATCTTATGCCGCAACCGCACATGCGGCATTTAGCGAACTCCGAGCGCTCGTAATCGGACTTCGCCTTCCCATCCACACATGCGGGCTCTGATAGCAACAATATAGAGACGAGCGCTCGTTCTCGTCGCCGATCAAGTCGCCGAACTCCGACTTCCCCATCTATACACATAGGAAATCGGCGAAGCCCCGATCGGAGATCGCCAAATGCCGCATGTGCGGTTGCGGCATTATATTATCATTATTTTGGCGAGTAATTTAATATTCTAGTTTAAATTGTGTATTTTGTCAATAATGCCATTTTGTATTAAATGTGATATTTAAACTATAATATTAAATTAGTCGTCAAAATATCTAGTGTGGAATATTTTACTTTATTAATCGTGTAAAACTTCTGAAGTAACCCAAAATGGCAATCCTCCAACATCCAAGAGACTCATCCAAGACACTCGAAAAAGTTTCTTAGAAATTACGACTGAGAAAAAAAACAAAGATTTAATAAGAACAATCTTCGAGTTGTCACGGGGTCTCTAAGAGGACACTGTCTCCTCAACGAACACCTCAGTAGATTGAAGCTGAGAAACAACGGCGAATGCAGATTCTGTGGGGAAAATGGTGCAACACTAACACCTTAGTTTTTACACTACCAATTTTAACAGTGCGCTGAGACAACAATCGTTCGTGCAATAAACTTTGGTACGGCTGATGGAGAGCTGGCCTCTGTGAAGCCGTCTCAGTTACTGGCTTTTATGAAAGCCCTGAGACTATATGAAAAGTTATAACTCGTTATAACACAAGAAAGGAAAACACACAATAAATCTGTAAGATTGCCCCCTCTTAAATTTTCTACATCTTACAAAGCTTCTGAACTATTATTCTATAAATTAATGATCAACATAACAATTTTAATAAATAGTTTACATAAACATAAATTATCTTTAAATCTACCTAATCATACTGAACCTAGCGGACCAGAATGACATATGATTCTAGAATAGCAGTATCTCAATCAAAGTAAGTATTAATGTCGAAATTTTAAGTATGTTTCTAGGCCAGAAATGGGCTTGGCGCTGCAATATAAAAGTTTTACCATTCACTAAACGTTCACTAAGCCACTGTGAGTTCATCATAAATGAAAAACCTCTAGCGAGGGGAAGGGGGTCAGAGAAACTGTCTATTGTAGTTTATCTTAATAAGGTAAGAAACAGTGGAGTGGACTAATAAATTCTGTTTGACAGAATTTTAATACTCAACTTGGCGAACCATAGCATATCTGTGATCAAATAAGTGTAATAATTTTTAACTTTTTGTTTGTGGCTGTATTTTATCAAAGGCAACGGCCCAGCCACGTCGAAACACCGGTTCCCATTAGAACACCGAAGTTAAGCAACGTAAGGCGATATTAGTGAATGGACGGGTGACCGGTTCGAAACTCGCATCTGTATCGTGCTCTTGTCCAAAAAAGGCAAAAGTGTAAAATCTATTCTTTGAGATTTCAGACTGAAATTCTGGAGTAAAAACTTCCAATCAAATCTAGACGGCAAAAATTAAAATGGCGCCTGACCTTGCCAGAGGCCTCGTGAGTTGACACATGGCTGACGCACAGACAAAGGAGAGGACGCCGACGTGCACAAAAATGTTCCGTAACTGAAATTGCCAGAAATCATATGAGAATATTTCAGATTTTTGTCTAGGACAGTCTAGAAGGCCACGCTTTCTGCCTGGGTAGGACATCGCCAGAACTGTTTCCAATTATCCGGTTTACTGTCACCCACCTGGATATAAGGCAATTTTAAAAAATTTTAAAAAAAAAAAAAAAAAAAAAAAAAAAAAAAAAAAAAAAAAAAAAATAATCGTATTTTTTTCCTTAATCTTTTTATTATTATTTTTCATAATATAGCAGCAAAAAGGAGACATTAACTTACAGCACTTTTTTATTAATCAATGAGTTTTTACTTCTGAAGGATTTGGAAGGTAATTATGGATGGTTTTTAGTAATTATTTTTATTGTTTTAGGTCTAAAAATGCAGCTTTAAATAACAGACACGCTTATTTCTTACTGGTAGATAACGGAACCGTTGGAAAATATGGAGCCGAAATAATTCTTAGGAGAAGGTTAGAAAAACACATATCGAAGCAACGTTTATATCCTTGTAAGTATCTTGTTATCAATGCAACATAGAAGAATGATTATCTTAAGGAGATATCTGAACGACAATCACGATAACAGATACAGTTTATTCAACGTCAAGATACACCAAACGTATACAAAAACAAACTTATACAACTACAATCTACCCATTCCTAGATATAGATCTCTCCTATCCTTTTTATTTCTCACTATTTTATGCTGTATTTAACCACCATTAGTTGCCACTTCCCCGATGTCGTCCATCCAACGTTTTTGTGGACGTTCTACACTTTTTTTAATTTGTCTTGGCCTCCACATTGCTTTTCTATGCGCACATCTGTCTTTCAGGCAGTTATTTGAGTAAGTGTCTATAGAAGCACCTATTCAACAACTTTATTACACGTTATGTCTCTGGCGGGATCTCATTTCTCTCTGTAGTGAAGTATTGAATTCAACATTCAAAGCAGTAAAAATAAAAAAAACAGGGAATAACTGAAAAAAGTTAACTCACAGCAATCAAAACTCATATGTGCAACTTCGTGTCGACGGACGGGATAAACACTTTTAATAATCATTATTTTTTGTTTAATTAATAACGGAATTTGGGTATTTTTATTTTTTCCTTCTACTATAGACTATATACATATCGTTACGGGTTCCGTGGGTCCACTAATTTAAACTCACGATAAAATACATAACGATTTATTATCTCACTTTATACACACAATTTATACTAATTATAATACACAATTTATGCAACTACTATTACTCTAACTTTTCTGGCACCTACGCCAATTAATTCACAATTTAAAACGCGGTATTATCCATAGATAAAAGAAAATAATCTACTATTAAGAATAGATATGAAACTTAATAGTAAAATTTTGGATCAAAGCGCCCCTCCGTGTTTATATTTGAATTCAAAGGATTTATTTTTAAAGTTACACTGATATAATAGTACATCAGAGTAACTTTAATAAAACATAAGAATATATATATTTTACAATTTATTTTTTTATTTATTTTACAGAGTTTCATGTAAATGATCGTAAGTCGACTGGCTGTCTAATGAATAGACCGAGATTTATAGATTTTAAAGCGAACGAAAAAAAAATCAAACAACGAATACATACCATATATTTTTCTTTTATTTAAGATACATACCTTATCGTCTTTTGGAAACACGTACATTTTTGCAGTTTTGTTAGTTTCTTTGCAAGATACAACACAACAAGAAAACACCATTTTTACAGTTAATAAATAATAAAACTATTTCTGACTATGATATTTAAAGTTTAGATAGATAGAAAATTATAAACAAACGAATATTTGCAAACGCAGGCTCAAATTCAATAAAAATCAAAATTTTTCCTGCGAAAATCAGGCTTTTTTCACTGAAAAGGTATTTTTTGATTTATCAGCAGTCATTGTCAAGTTGACAATATACAGGGTGTTTTCGTGTTTTCGAATTAGTCTAAAAAAATTATGGTGTGATTCCTCATGTGTTCTAAAAACAAATTTTTATATAACTATTGGGTCTAAAGTACTTCCTTTCTGATCTACAGGGTGTTAAAAATTAAAAAAAATCGATTTTTTTGCTTAACATAAATGGTACATCACTGCTTTTTTAAAGAAAATATATTTTTTTCTTGACTGGCCATCCTTTTTCAACAAAATTGATCTTTTGAGTTTTTCTTGTTCATCAAACGGTTGTCGAGAAAAAAATAAATATACTTATTAAGAGCCCGCCTTAATTCATTTTCTAACGATTTTTTATTTTTTAGATTAATTAGGAAACACCCTGTATATGCATATCACAGACAACCAAATAAACTAGTAACCTCTAAAAATTATTTTTCCTACCACCAGCGACATACCGTGTTTTTAGTGTGTACTAAATTATTTTATCAAAATTTCACCATATAAGTTTCCAGGCAATGGTATTATCAAACTTCAAACTGTCAAAACTGCCGATCGCGCGCCTTTTATATAGCTGTGGATATTCCGGAAAGTTCTAAAATCATCGGTAACTTTCTGCCATCTACCAGTAAAATCTATTGCTTGAGTCGCTTACTTATCGACTTGATTAAGAGATGGCGCCCCGACAAAAATATCTCAGATTTCTCGGCAATGTAGACAACCAGCAATACACGTTTTAGTTACTCACTTCTCCGACAGATGGCGCCACATACAACTTGACAATATATTACCGTTGACGCTCATGGCCTTATGAATTTCTTTGCTTTGATGCATCTTGGCGTTGAATTTACTGCAGCTTCTTGTTAAGTTTCTACTCGAGAAAATGGTCAGATGTCTTTAACGAACTATAATTATTTTTGTTTCAGTTACTCAAAGCCCAATCCCAATTGTGTGTTTAGTAATTGAGGGCGGTACTAATACTATTAGGGCAGTACTAGAGTACGTGACCGACGATCCGCCAGTGCCTGTGGTAGTGTGCGATGGTTCAGGTCGGGCGGCGGATTTGATAGCTTTTATGTGCAAGTAAGGAATCCGAACCAATAAGAGAGGTGCTTGCCAACATTAACATTATATTTATTTTTTAACGCTACAATCGATTCTTAAGGATTGAAAATGTCAGAAGTATTTCCACTAAATATTTTAAGCCTTAACAAATTAAATGAGGCCAATTAATACAAAATAAGTTAATTAACATTGGATCGTGTTATTTTTAGCGACTTCCTACCACTGTAAATTTATTCATGAAGTTCTAATGGAACTGTTTAACTTACTTGGTCAAACATAAATTTAAATGACAAATATATACATATATTCAGAAATATGAGCTCCCGTATTATATGAAATTTAAAAGGGTACATTATTGTTTCGTTTAATTAGAAATAATACTTTAAATAAAGTAACTGCGTATCATAGTCTGGAAAATTATGCTCGAAATCTTTAAAACGTTTGGAATATAAAGTAGGAAATATCTAATTTGGATCTCGAAGGTTTCTTTATTCCTGTTTTTTTTTTATTATTATCTATGCTGGCATATGCGAGTTGTACTTGTGTTTATTTTTTACTTTTTTATTTTTATTTAATTTTTATTTTATTTAACCGTAATGTAATGAATCAACCTCGGAATCAACTCTCACGATTCTTTGAATGAACAAGGCGTAGAAATGAACGAGTCGCATTGTGATTCGATTCAATTCCTACGATTTTTTTAAGGCTCGATGGTTTAAATTTTATGTTTATGGTTCCGTGCTGGCCACGATTCACTTGAATGAACCGTATTGTAAGCGATGAATCGAATCTCACGATTCATTTATAATCCCAAGTAGCATCTATCTGACTTCAAACTAAATCTGACCTGAAGCGACGTCAAACTTTGTGCAAATTTAGGTCGGGTGCTGGTGATACGACTGCTGACGTCGCTTTCCTATTGAAAGTGACGTCGTTGGATCTGAGTCGGTAAATCCAACGATCTGTCGACGTACTAAATAACAACGTACCATTTTTATTAATTTCCCAACGTCGTTCCAACGTTGGCTTGCACGACGTACCTATACTTGAACTAGCCCGACGTCTACCCGTTGTCCGAATAGGATACGTCTCACTGATAATCCCTAAAGTAACGTCCAATTATCTTTTGTTTTATTTTATGTTCATATTTTTAACCTAATTTACGTATCTCTATTTACGTCCGTAACTACAACCCATTAAGTAGCATTTGCGGCCTAATAAACATCATGAACATAACCTAATAAAAAGTTTTTGTAAACAAACTTAATTTTTTTTTTATTATGCCTAAAAAAACACTAAAAAGGCATTTAGACATTCATCTACATTTTACAGAAAGAGGTCGAGGCTTTTGCAAAATAATAATAGTAGTAGTGATGTCTTCCCTCCGCCCACGAATGCTTTTTATCCGGAAGAGATGCTGCATTACACTGGTGCATCTTAATTTCATTTTTTAGCTTAGGAAACCAGCAGACCCCATCCTCCTCCCACATGTGAGGTACTGGTTTCAATTCTTTTAAATTTTGTATATACTATCTTAAAAAAGTGGCTGCTCATTGTTTTAAAGAGAAAACAAAAACTAAAATATAGTTGCACAAATCCACAAATCACTGATACGCAAAGTGAGGTAACGTGGCGTACGTTGGAGTTATATACGTCATAATACGATTGCCGGTCGTCCGGTTTGATGACTTCGGTCATGTGAGACGACCATAGACAAACAGAAAAATTAAAAGACTGCCAGAAGACATACGACGCAGGCAATGTTCGTAGTTCATATTAAGTCGGACACAGAAATCCGCCATTCTTAACAGGTATCCGATTGTCAGCCATTTTAAAATCGTTTTTTTTTTAAATTTATATTCACATTTCGATATCTAGTAGAATAATATTGATAAGGTTGAGTTTGGGGAACCACAGTACAGTTTTATGATTAAACCAGCTAGAAAATAAAAAATATTTTGCGAGTTACTTTTTTATAGATATTTTATTTCATAAATCTACCTACTTTTGAAGGCGCTCGTTGTTTTCCGGAGTATTTTAATCAGATATATGAAAAGTGACTTCCGTTGACAAAACTGATATCTGGATTAATGATTCAGAATTATTATAATATGAAATTAGATAGGCACTTATAGTTCTATTCGAGGAGTGAATATGAATCCATTTGTAATTAGGTAGTTTGGTTAGGTTTTTATGTATTCTTGGTAGCGAATATGAAACCAAACGTAATGTAAGTGCTTAGCGACGAATTTTAAGTGACTAAAATCCAACGTAATATGACGTTGGTAATTGGTAGAATTACATTCCCTATTAGGTCAGATACCGACGTCGAGGCGACCCGAATCTGTATTCCCCATTTAGGTGCAAATAAGGGTCGTCAGGCGGTCGAACCGACGTTGGTACCCGACGTCTGGTTTATTGAACGCGACGTATACCCGACGTTAGATAACGTCCAAATGCTACTTGGGATACTCGTTCAAATGAATGACTCGTTCAATCTTTGCCCACCTTTACTAGGGTTGATAGCGTGCGTTACGTGACGTGTAGTTTCTTTGTGTTTTTTGAAAAACATTTTCCATATTTTAATAAATAAATATACAGGGTGTCCCAGGCTGAGCGTGCATTGGAAGTTTCTAGAGAACCACAATATCTAGATCGGAGATTTTTTGCACATCATTGTTTTACAACGAGATCTATCGATTAAAAATATTTTCAATATGGCGGCACTTCCGGAAATACCGGAAGTTGACAACAACTTTCTTATTTTAAATGGGTGCCCCCATTTTTTGTTACATACTTAAATTCTCTGTAAAATTCTATAAATATTGATGTTAAACACTCTATACCTAACATTTTCCGTTTTTGAGAAAAAAAATATTTAAAATTTTTTACGAAAAAAACTACCTGTCAAAAAAATTTTTATAACCTAAAAGTCAAATTTAGTGATTACTACAGCCACTGTGACATAAAGAGAAGACATGTGGCTATCTATTTCAAAAATTAAATTGTTCAAATGTCATATAATAATGGCAGGAATTAAAAAATTATCATAAATCCATTTGAAAAAAAAAATTCAAATGGAAACCCACTTTTTTTATTTCACTAATGAAAACGATTTTCAATTCGTCTTCAATTCAAATAAATCGTTTTTTAATTATTTAAGATTTAATTTGAAAACAGATTTTTCTTGATTTTATCTAGCTTCCTTTGACATTAACGTTACATCACTAACGTCACTTAACGTTAAGTCATAGGCTACTGGTTAAAGTCAAGAAAAATATACGCTTTAAAACTAAATCTTAAATAACTTAAAAACGATTTATTTTAGGTACAGGAACATGTACCAAAAAGTAACGTCATTAGTCAAAAAGTAACGAATTGAAAAACCTTTTCATTAGTGAAATAAAAAAGTGGGTTTCCATTTGAAAAAAATGATTTATGATCATTTTTTAATCGCTCAATTCTATGACAGCTGCGGCCATTATTATATGACATTCGAACAATTTAATTTTTGAAATAGATGGCCACATGTTTTCTCTTTATGGCACAATGGCTGTGGTAATCACTAAAGTTGACGTTTAGGCTATACACATATTTTTGACAGGCACTTTTTTTCGTTCAAAAATTTGTAATATTTTTTTTTCTTAAAAACGGTCAGTGTTAGATGTAGAGTGTTTAATATCAGAATTCATGAAATTTTACAGAGAATTTAAGTATGTAATAGAAAATGAGGGAACTCATTTAAACTAAGAAAGTTGCTGTCAACTTCCGGTATTTCCGGATGTGCCGCCATATTGAAAATATTTTTAATCGATAGATCTCGTTGTGAACCTATGTTGTGCAAAAAATCTCCGAACTAGATGTTGTAGTTCTTTTAAAACTTCTAATGCACGCTCAACCTGGGACACCCTGTATATAACCTATAGAGATTTATTTGGGTTTTTATTTTTTTTTTCAACATACACTATGAGTGCATGGTGAATTTTGACATTTGCCGCTGTATGTTAGAAATTCTGATGTTTGACCAATATTTCGGACATACGTCGAGCAGCTTGATGAATGTTGACATTTACTATACATTTACCGGAGTATCTTGTCATTCACTGGATTTCGGATTTTCACGGTAACATATCTATTGTTGGCAAGCACCTTTAATGCAATTCTCTTCCATATATAAGTCGGGTTTATTCTGATAAGATGATCCACCATCATTAATTTGAATAAACCCTCGACCAAATCCACGCTCATTTAGGATTTGTGGCGATTGTTTTCTAGGTACGAGTGTTCCATGCTGAAAACGATGAAGGAGTATATAATAGCCACAATCCAGAGGGCCTTTGAAGTGGCCGCCGAGCTGGCCGACGGCCTGTTTAGCGAGCTGATGATGTGCGTCGAAAATAAACACCTGGTACGTGTATCCAAATAAAATTATCTATATAATAGAGTTAATTAGACTGCGATAGAGTCATCGGGTAGTTTTATTAGATTGTATATGATAGTGATGGCGAACCTTTTGAGCTCAGTGTGTCAAAATGTTGAAAAATCGAAACATAATTTTCGTGGCGTGTCACACAAAAGTAAAGACTAAAAAAAAAGATAGAGTTCTGTTGTTTCTGTCAACAATCCCGTACATTTCGGTCCATGTGTCTTGAAATGGACGGCTACTGCTACTTACATTTCTATTTAATTTTTGTCGTCAATGCCAATCGATTGCAAAGGCAAATCAGTATAAATCACATCGTTTTTTATAAAAAAGTTGATAGACCTACCTATTAACTATCTGCACTGATTACTGGTATCATAAGATTGAAACATACCAAGTACTGGATTTGACCAGGCTACCTGTCAACTTCGAAACTTCTCGCTAAGCCGTTTTTAAATTTGCAAAATTGGGTCCATAAAAAAATGGTTTGTACAACGTTAAAACACTCCGACCACCAGTAATTTGTGAAAATTTTTGACATTAAACAAGGAACGTCAGCGTCGTTCAATTTTTTGTTCTAATATGATGAAAAGATGTAATAACGACAGAATATTCGTTGGTAGCTATTTCCGCCATAGTATCATTTAATCATGAAGGCTTTTCTTTTTAATTCGTAGCATAAAAATAGTTATATGGCGAAGCTGTATGTTTGACATACAGGCGAAGCTCAAAAAGTCATTTTTACTCCGAATAGATCATGCTATTTTTTTCAAACGTCACAAATAATTTTTTAAACAATTTTTTAAACGTTCCAAAAGTATAAAAAGATTTAAAAGTAATACCTTTTTAAAGGTTCCTTTATAAGTTTCATCTAAAATCAATAGTGAAGCTAAAATAAACGACAATTTATATGGAATCTCCTATATGTCCTGAACCAATGCATATCCCTCTACATAGGGCACTTTTATATAATACAACCGTCATATACAGGGTGTTTCAAAACAAATGCGAAAAACTTCAGGGAGTGATTTCTTGTTCAAAATAAAGGGTAGTTTGCTTTATAAACGTTGGGTTAAAAGTCAACCATTAGTGAGATATCGCGGTACAAAGATGGCGGAAAAATAATGTTTTTATTTTTTATCTTGAAAACGAAAAGAGATAGACTAATGAAATTTTATGGAAGCATTACTGTTATGAAAACACACTTTCTGGTAATTTTTTCACTTTTTTAAAATGAGTGGAAGGGGTTGAAATAAACTACCCCTTTCATTCTGGTTAACGAAATTTAAAGAAAAATCTTATCAAACACATGCAAAAAAAATAATTTGGATAGTTTATTTTGTTTAGAAACTTTTTTTTCTCTTGTGTTTTTTTGATAAAACTCACCGATATGAAATTAAAAAATGAAATGTAAAGCATTAATATCAGGACAAAAAACATTTTTAGATAAAGAATCTAGTGGGATGCTGTAATTTTTTTAGGAAAAAAATCTAGTCGGCCGCTGTCACTTTTTAGGATGTTTCTAATATTATTTTATTTGGCATTACTCTACTGCAATACGTTATTATCTAGATTATTATTATTATCGTTATTATCACTAGATTCTTAATCTAAAAATGTTTTTTGTCCTGACATTTTGGTTTTGTCCGTAATGCTTTACATTTTATATTCTAATTTCAAATCGGTGAGTTTTATCAAAAAAACACAAGAGATAAACAAGTTTCTAAACAAACTAAACTATCCAAATTATTTTTTTGCATGTGTTTCATAAGATTTTTCTTTAAATTTCGTTAACAAGAATGATAGGGGTAGTTTATTTCAACCCCTTCCCCTCATTTTAAAAAATAACCAGAAAGTGTGTTTTCATAACAGAAATGCTTCCATAAAATTTCATTAGTCTATCTCTTTTCGTTTTGAAGATAAAAAATAAAAACTTTATTTTTCCGCCATATTTGTACCGCGATATCTCTCTAATGGTTGACTTTTAACCCAACGTTTATAAAGCAAACTACCCTTTATTTTGAACAAGGAATCACCACCTGAAGTTTTTCGCATTTGTTTTGAAACACCCTGTATAAGTATGTTACGGTTAAAGTCCGATGTCCGGTTAATGTCGACATTAACAGGTTAATGTTTGGGTTTGGTTTTATTTTTGGTTGTTTTGTTGTGTGTTATTCTCGAGATGAACCGGGTAATATCGATATTAACAGAATATTGGACCTTAACCGTAACATATACACTCTTGAGGTGAAATTATATTTTATTTAAATTCCCAAAATAAAGCAAAATTTTAGTCAAGGCGTTATTTTTAATCCGGCAGTAATTTGTTTTCTTTTTCACAGATAACCATATTTAGGATCGCAGACAAGTACGATCAAAAACCTCAAGAGCTCGACCAAACGATACTCACCGCATTATTCAAATCTCAACACCTGTCACCCACCGAACAACTCAGCCTAGCTCTCACTTGGAACAGAGCGGACATAGCTCGATCGGAGATATTTATCTATGGCCAAGAATGGCCGCCTGGGGCACTAGAGGATGCCATGATGAAGGCATTGGAACACGACAGGTAAAGGTTGTCCTCTTATCATTTCTAGGTTACAATTTCCAGGCCTACCCTTTTCAAAAAGTCTAGTATCTTAAAGACTGGACCCTTCATGTTAGCTCTTTGTTAAGTCTTATCATTGCAACAATTATCTTTTATCTTTACAGGTGTGATTTTGTAAAACTATTGCTAGAAAATGGCGTTAGCATGAGAAAATTCTTGACCATTCCCAGACTAGAAAATTTGTATAATTCAAAGCAAGGCCCCAGCAACACCTTGAGGTACATTTTGAGAGATGTAAGGCCTCACATACCGGCCGGCTATGTCTACACTCTACACGACATCGGATTGGTTATCAACAAGCTCATGGGAGGAGCGTATAGGTACAAAACTTAATTATATACCGAGTGCGTCTCGAAAGTGGCTCACTCCTATAACTTTCTTATTTTTTCAGATAAATAAACAAGATTTGATATGTCAGTATATTACATAAATTAGGATTGATTGACGTATTTAATTGTTTTTGGTCACTTCCTGTTTCACTGGAAACGACTACAACTTTTGATTTTTAAATGGTACCCTCGGTATACTAATTTATTCGATAGAAAATGACACTAAGAATAAAGAACAAATACCAAGTGCCAGGTACCAAATTATTCGTAAAAAAATGCTTTTTCCAAATATGCTAATGAACCACCCTTGTTCCTTTTGAAAAAATTGAGATATGATTAAAAATACGACTTGGACATCTTTTAACCAGCCCGGAAAGACACGAAAAACATTAGATGATCAAATCTATTTTTTCAAGGCTCCTTGATTAAGAATTAGTGTTTTTAACACAGCCATGGCACTCTAGATTGAAACTTAAAATACGATTATATATGACAGTGCTTAAAGTCTTTACTTACGTTATAGGAATATTATTTATACCGATTTGGTTAGGTTGGGTAGGTTTTCTTAAAGGATAATTTTAGAAGTGTGGTCTGCATTTTAACGTGTAAGACAGAGAATAATATAAATGACCGGTTGACAGACAGAGAGACAAAATCAAAAGCGGCATACCGTGTTGTCGGTTTTTACGTTTGTAGGAAAACTTGTGTAGAAAAAAAACTATTTTAAAAACTTCATGTATACTACTGAAATGAAAGTAATATATCTCAGCTAAATATAATCTATTTCATCTGTAATAAAATTAGTAACTAATTGTGAAAAATAAGGTTACAACCCTAGATGCAACATTTTCCATAAACGTTGCGGTTAGAACTTTTGATGCAAAATCCGGCAATACCGCAGAGAAGAAATGTATCAGCCCAACTTTTATCTCTTTTTAATACATTTGATTTTCCATTAAGCTGCCTACATCACTGTCTTAAGCGTCGATTACACGGAGCGAGTTTACACGCCGCTAGTGCGCTATTTTACTATCCGCTAGTAAACTAGCTCTGTGTAATCGAGGCAGCGTGTAAACTAGCCGGATAGTTTACTCGCTAAAATGCGGGCTAGTAAAGTTGAAGACCGGTCAACTTTACTAGCTACTGGCTGGCTTATTTACTATCCGGATAGTAAAAAAGTAGCGTGTAATTATATCAGAGAGTCAACTATCCATAAAAAAATCAGAAAGTTGGTGACCAGTATTAAATTTGTGATGAAGCGTATTTATTTTCATTTCGAAAATGCCTAAAATGTCTAAAGAAATACTTCGTGGATGTGCTTCGGTTCTTGGGGCTATATCAAAGAGTAGATAAGACAAGAGACGACAGTGAACAAAGAAGTCGAATTTCGCGAGAGAGACGCAGATATATTAAAATTTAAAAGTCCCATCAAGTCCCATTTTGACTGTTGCCAAGTATATTTCTTTGAAAAATAAACAAGATTTTCTGAAAATAAATTAATAATATAAGAAGGATATAAGTAACGTATGTTAATACGGAAATGTAAATTTTAGTTTAGGTTGGTTTAGGTTCTTTTTCGCAATGTACTGATAATATCAAAGAAACAGAATGACTAAGTTGATCGATTTCAAAGATAAACAGATAAAATCTCAAAATCTGACAACGGCGTATTATATCTAATCTAAAATATAACCTATGATTTTAGGACGCTAATGAGCTGTGCTAATCAAGCTTAAACATAAACAAATCTGATTAGTTGTTTTCTTGCATTTTTGCCTTTTTAAAGTGTGTTTTCAGAGTTTTTCGATATCTTATCGTTTTGAGAGTTTTTAAGGTTTAATTTTAGTATCGTTTTTGTTGCGTACTAATTTGTAAATATTGTTAAATATGAATACTGAACAGGACACGAGTAGAGCAGGAAAAGACGAGATGGTGGCAATGTGTGTGCTTACAAAGACTGCAAAAATAGGTCTTATTCTTCGACAAACATAATATTTCACTCTTTTCCAAAGGATCCTGAAAAGTTATTAAACTAAGAAAGAAGACTTAAAGAAGTTATTAAACTAAGATCGAAGACATGGTTAGAAGCTTGTAATATATTTTTACAAAAAAAATTGAGCAACTTTATTTTTTTGTACATAAACTCCACATTGTGATTTTACACTTGTTCAAGTCCATATGTAAAAAAAAATACATGTAAATAAAACATTTCTTACAAATCGACTTGGTCACTTTATCTTGTTTACAAACGATATACAAGATATTGCTTTTATTATCTTTATTCCCCGACAAATATGTTTCTAATTATAATTTATTTTATATGATATTTAGAAAACTCATTTTTTTTGTTTCTATTTATTTCTTTACCCATACAGTAACTATTTATAAGCTATACAGGCAAGTTTTAATAATAAATAAATAATAATAAGTCTATTTTAAATTTCCCGCGAAAAAATTACGAAAATTTAAAGGGACAAGCGAGACGAGGTCACTCTCCCCACCACTCAAACATGAAAGGTACCGCGCGAACTGTCGTCTCTTGTCTTATCTACTCTTTGGCTATATTTCAGGAAGAATTAAAAAACTTTCCAAAAAAGAAAAAAGAAATGGATAAGAAATTAAAATATATTTCCAAAAACTTTGTAATATTATTTGCGTTCCACTTCATCTCGATAAACACAACAACACAACAGGTTCGCAAGCTTGGGACGGCTTGTTACTAGCCACGTGCAATTATGGTAGCTTTTTTACACGCCGTGTTCGGACTAGCGAGATAGTATACAAGCGCACTAGCGGCGTGTAAACTCGCTCCGTGTAATCGACGCTTTACACGTTAAAATCCAGACCACACTTCTAAAATGACCAAATCGGTATACTCTTTACAAACTTTTTACAGAAAATTCGTAAAATCCGCTAATTAGGTTAAACCGTACAAAGCAGAACTCCAAAATAAATGATGCTTTATGTTTTTTTTTGCTGCAGGGCATTTTATACGCGGCGAAAGTTCAGACCTATCTACGCCAAAGTAATGAACAAAGGACAGAATATGACCACGAACGCCGCATCGGCCAGACAGTTCGGGGCCATGAGCCTTTTAGCCGGAGCCTTGCCGTCCAGCGCGAATCCTTGCCTATTTGATTATCCATTTAATGAGCTTCTGGTAAGTCCTTTACGCTTTTGTTTCATTTAAAGTTGCCCCCGGGGATGTATGAAAAGTATAACAATGCTGGGACTTGATTTTTATATTAATTACCGAGGGCAAAGTTTCTGGACAATAATTGCCCGAGAATATTAACACTTTATAATTTCCGTGGTGCATAGATAATTTTATTTCTTACTGAATTTAGTATATTTTGTCCCATTTTAAAACGACACAAATGTTGCATTTATTATAATTATATATAATATTCCGGTATATTTATGTGCAAATATTTTTAGTATATATTTTTATTGCCAAATACAGTAAAACTTCCATATAGCGGCCACAAAAATTTTCAAAGGAATGTGGCCGTTAAGGGAAGTGGCCACTATTGGGAACAATAAAATACAGATACCAATGTAAAATGCCTTTATTTTGGAAACGTGCAAAGTAATTAAAATTAAGTACGAGCATGTAGTACAAACACACAATAAGTGTTAATAAATGATCTTCAGTTTTAGATTTTGACACAAAAAAAATAATTCAGTTGTTACAAAAAAAAACTTTATTACATAAGAATTTCTTTACAATGTATACATGTATTTACACATAGGTATTCTTATATACATATGTACAATTGACTTTAAAAAGTTACAAAATGATAACCTTATTTTATATGGTGAAAAACTGATTAATGGTAGTCTGCTTTAAATTTTTAATTTTGATTTTTGTAATTTGGTGGCATTATCCAAAAATAAAAGAACTTTTCTACCCTGCCGTTTCATTTTGGTGTCAAAGGTTTTGAGCCAAGATGTCATTATATCTGTCGTCATCCAAGCTTTTTGTTGGATACCCATTCTATCGGCAATTTATACACATGCGCTCCTTTAAAACATCTCGGGTTTTTGCTCTTACCTATAACTAGCGGATTTTCCTTCTCACCATGCATGCTGCAACAGAAAAGCAGTGTCACTCGTTGTTTAGCTGATTTTTTGCCAGCACATTTATCATTCTTTAAAGCAAAGGTTTTGTTTGGCATTGCCATATAATAAAGTCCTGTTTCGTCTGCATTAAAAATGTCTTTAGTGTCGTATTCCTTTAATGATTGCTGTTAATTTTGTTTTCCAGTCTTCAACAGTCACTTCATCCACATCTGCAGACTCACCCCACAAATTGTTTTGAAGTTAATATTATGTCTCTTGCAAAACTTATTTAACCAGCCAGTTGAAGCCTTAAATTCACTAAGTTTCAAGGATGTAGATACCTCAAGAGCTTTTTTCCCTAATTAAGGTTCCCGATATGGGTATGTTTTTGTTCCTTGCCTTACAAAAAACCATTCGTAAACTAGTTGATCGATTGCAAATCCTTCTGTTTTAGGAAACTTTCGTTTTTTATCTGCATTGCATCCTTCTTCTTCAAACATTTTTTTTAATTCCACTTTGTTTTTTTAAAATGTCGTTCACTTGCGTTCTTCCAACACCAAACTTTTCCGCCAACTTTCGAGCACTGCTGTAATATTTTTCACTTTCCGCGACAATATTTAATTTCTCTTTAATAGACAAACGTTTACGTTTCAAAGACATGGTTGCTGTTCTTTCAGAGTAAGAAACTAAACTGATTCTATATCTCCCAAAAATTTCAGCAAACTACTGACGAATTTGTATTGTATTTGTCACTCTCTGTTCCTACTTCTCAAACAAATTATAAATGTTTATTGCTTGGAATTTCCTAAAGTGTCCCGAAACAGCTCTTGTTAGACAAAAAAAAAGGTTCGAAGGGTTCGGTTTTTGGCCGGTATTGGGGCAATAAATTTAATGGGTTTTTCCCTAAAATGTACCTTTGAAGCGGCCGGTGACCGCTTTCGGAATTAACGTTATTGAGAAATATTTTAATATAGGAATTCCCTTAAGATTAATTCAAACAACTGAAAATTGACCACTAACAGAAGTGACCGCTTTTTAGAAGTGGCCGAAATGGGAAGTTTTACTGTATTTTTATTGCCAAATATATTTTTTTTGTATTAGTAGTTTAAAAATGTCAGATTCCTCTTCTTATTTAGACAATATTGCTCGCGGTATAAAAAGCTTTTATAAACGTTTCTTTAAGATATGGGCGGTGTTGATGAAACGTCACAAGATGGCCTTGTTGATGTGGCAGCACGGGGAAGAGGCCTTGGCCAAAGCTTTAGTTGCGTGCAAACTGTACAAGGCTATGGCTCACGAGGCGGCGGAGGATGACATGGAGACTGAAGTATATGAGGAACTTAGATCTTATGGAAAAGAATTTGAAAATATAGGTACGAATTTGCTATGTAGTTATAACCTAGGTTACGTATTGAAGGCATGTTCCTAGTCTTTAACTCTACTTGTAAGTCTTGAGAAACTTTTGCGAGTGTCTTGACCGTTGGAGGATTCCCACTCCATGTTAAGGATGGAGTCTTCCAAGTTCTTGAGATGGTTTCCACTTGGGAAGCAGAACGGTTCTGGTTCAGTTAGTGGAGTGTTCACTCCTTTTCTAGCTAGATCGTTTACGTTTTCATAACCTTCTAGCACCCAGAGTAGGAGGACTTATTTTCTTTGCCTAATGTGTTCAGCTTTTCTAGACATTCATTAACTAACTTCGAATTGATGGTTACTTTTGATCGCTCTTAAGGCTACTTTACTAAGTTTTACGCATCTTTTAATAACGTAGATTCCTGCCTAAAGGATACTGAGATGCCTATTGGCAGGTTTTATAATTTTTATATTTTTACACCCAGAGACTTTATTTTCTTTGCCTAGCTTCGCTCGGCATCCTTTGATAATACAGGCTAGCGTGAGCAAACTATCTCAATCAACGACAAAAGATTACTTATTATATTATAGTCTGTAAAACGAATAACTTTGAATTTGACAGCTCCCGCGGGCTTTTCTAGTGTTAATTTTATTAGGTTAGCAACTTGCGGCCATGCTGACGCAATGCCGTCTCTAATAGAACAGCCTAGCAACGAGATTTATGACGTCACACTAGTTAGATACTATAAATTAATAACTATGTTGTGAATATGGAAAAACATAATTATTCCTCGATTTGTTGGTTTGTATTTTAAAAATGCATATAGTTTATATTGAATATATATATAATATACAGTTAAATACAATAAATGTATTTTTAAGAGTATATGTTTTCTAATAATATACATAAAATTAAAACTATATATAAAAGCTAAACGAATAATTAATATAAGTACTTTCTGATAAGAAATCTGAACCATACAAATGCAGCAAATGTTTTACAATATGACTGAAATCGAAATCCATAGTCAATGTAGATAGTTTTTGTGTTAAGAATAATGCATTTAAAAATATGTGGTCATCTTTGACAAGTTTATATTAGTTTATTAATTGCAGTAAACATTATAATATATAAATAAATTTTGTGAATGCAAATAATAATACATCACTATTAGTAGATATTGAATGTTTTTTGTTAAATTAGATCGATTTTCGACCCCCAAAATTTAAAATATATTTTACATTTTACCCATTATCTTATGTTCCACCTATTCATTATTTGTATATTGTAAAACATTTGCTGCATTTGTATGGTTCATGTTTATTAGCCAAAGTATTTATTATAATAAATATGTATATATCATATTGTATTTATTAACTTATATTATGTATATTTCATGTAAACTATATCATTTTTAAAATACAAACCAAAAATACGAGGAATAATTATTTTTTCCATGTATTCTACAACATATTTATTAATCCGTAGTATCTAACTAGCGTGACGTCATAAATCTCGCTCCGTGGCTGTTCTATTTGAGACGGCATTGGTCTAATATTTAGAAATGTCAAAAGCTGATGACATTTTACTTTTGTCAATTATGACATTTCGTGTTGATTTTTGCAAGAAGAGGAAGAACTGTCACTTGTTTTATTATTTTCCTTTTCTATTTCACGAAAGTAAAAAGAGTTACCTATCTGATTCGTTCAGGCTAGTTCAGGCACTCAATTTAAAGAATATCAGTAACTTTTTTGATAGAGGGATTTTATATTTGCCATGTTGGTAAAAAATAACGGTCAAAATTCAAAGTTATTCATTTTATAGACTATAGCTACTACACTACATTGAATAACTATAGGTAATTTAATTTGCAGGTTTGGAAGTGCTAGATTATTGCTACAGACAGGACGACGACCAAACCCAACAACTGTTAACCTGCGAGCTGCAAAACTGGTCAGGCCAGACTTGCCTTAGTTTGGCCGTGGCCGCGAACCATCGAGCGCTGCTCGCGCATCCCTGTTCGCAAATCATTCTGGCCGATTTGTGGATGGGTGGCCTAAGGACTCGAAAGAATACTAATATAAAAGTAAGTGTCATAGACTGGTTAATACTTTGAATAAGAAGACTAAGGAAGGAGCATAATACCGTATGATCGAGAAAAAACGGCGTCAAAGGCGGCTTAGGAATGACTATCGATGCTATTTTTGACGAGATAGAACTCTAGACGTCAGTTACTGAGAATTAATACCTTATATAGAAAAACCAGAAAAGAATAGAAAGTTTCCAGATGCACATATCTATTTCCAAAAAATTGTTTTTTCAAATGTTTCGATCTGCACCAGTTCTACTCAATAAAAAATCGATATTAAATCATCCTTAATGCAGTAATCGCCTTTTTCAAAATAAAGAAGAGTAAGGCCAGTAAGACTCTAACCTAACTAAATCTCGTCGTCCGACAAGCCTCCAACCCCTCCGACCGAGACATTTCGACTAAATTTTTGATTATTGTGCTGTTAAAATGTACGGATTAGCCTTTTATTATTGTTTCATACACACTAGACCGTTCAGATTTACTATATTGTATTGATTGTAGCTGTAAATAAAAATGTGTGTTTAATACCAGTAAATAATCCGTTAGTTGATGAAAGAAGATCGTGGTTTATCGGCTGTAAAAATTAATTGTAGGCTTTTTAAATTTTGCTTAATATGGTCATATTTACAATATTCAACTCTTAATTGTTGATACTTCTGGTGGATGATGTTCAATTTATACATATATAAATTATAAACAAACCAAATTGAAGTACTAGAAACAATAAGGGTGAGATAGTACTTTTACGAAATCCCTGTATTATTACTTCTTTACTTATAGAGTATCTGTTCCTGTGTATGCCCAAGTTTCTGTTTTCCAAGAAGCATATTAATTAAATGAACAAACTGTGTCCAAGAAATAATCTATTGCATAGAGGATTTGATGAAAACAAAATTGGTGATGTTGTAATCACAAAGTTCCATGCAGGAATCAATGGTTATTGCTAAAATATGTTATTGGTGTATTGTCAATTTTATTTACTTATATATTACGTTATTTAATCTCAATAATTTTAGGCTGGTAAGTCATTTATTTATACATACCTTAACGTACCTACTGGTAGATTGTAGGAAATAATAATATATACTTTGGAACAATTGAAGTAAATAAATAATATAATACATACATCAAGAAGTAATGTATAATTTGGAAAAAGCTGTATTAATCACTTTCGAAAAATCATAATTGTTTTTTTTTAGTAAGTCGCAGAACTTAGACAAATAATTTAGAGTTTGTTATTGGGCCCAAATGTAATAAGTACAGATTTAGACTCTAAACCAGGCATAGTATATTGATTAGTAGGGTCCACAGTAAAAAAATATTTTGTAATACCATTCGAAAGAAGAAAATACAGACCTAAATTATACTGTTTATAAAGTGAGTTTCATTGTAACATAACTTAAAAACAATTAATATGCATATGTCAATCATAAGAATAGAATCTATTAATTTAATGAACTATACCCATAGTACTCTGCAACAGTAAACCAAACCAAAGAAACTAAGACTTCTTACAGTGTTAGATCGTAGTATATAAATATTTTGAATTTTATCATTTAATAAATAAATACAATATAAAATTTAAAATGCCAATTTTTTTTATTTTAAAACAAGTGATTTATATATGTATAAAAAATTTTACAATTTTTTATCATTTAATTTATTGCCCACATCTTCCGGGATTATAAGGCTAATATTTTGCTGCTTATAGTGCCTATATTCAAAAAAAAATTAATTAGATTAATTAATGATTAAGTATCCCTGTATTTTAAATGTTGAATCTTATGGACTGAAAAACTGCTGATGATATTTCTACTAGACTGAAGATGTAGAAACCTAGAAGAAATTCAAAACAAATTGTACAAACATAACGTATGACTATACATTTCGGTAAGTCAATATCGATTATTTGGTTTTCTTTATATCCTCTATACAATAGACTATTTCTTTTGACATAGTTTTGTCTATTTAATTTGTTTCTTAGAGGTTATATACACAGGGGTAGATATTCTATATAAAAAAAAGTAATGTATAAGTAATAATACAGATTCTTAAAATATCTTCACCTTACCGTTTCTAGTACTTCCACTTAGTGTTTATATTTTATACATGTATAAAATTGAACATCATCCACCAGAAGTATCAACAATTATGAGTTGGAATATAAAAATATGACCATATTAAGCAAAATTTAAAAGGCCTACAATTAACCTTTGTTGATAAACAATACTTCTTCCAAACTAACGGGTTATTACTAGTAATTGAATACATATTGGTTTACAGCTACAGTATTAGTAAATCTGAAGGGCTCCAGTCTGTATTAGACAATTACAAAAAGGATAATCCATACATTTTAACAGTAGAATAATCCAATTTTTGTTACTCTCTACACTCCATACTCTAGGACGTTATCGAAATGCCTGGGACTGGGACGGCCATATAGTTAGTTAGAGCCTTTTGATTTTTCTCTCTTCTTTACTTTAAAGACGCATTCTGCGGTATTAATTACGATTTGGATTTTATCAATATAGATTTTTTATTAATTAGAACTGGTATAGTTCAAATTATCAGAAAAAATATTTTTGATATAGATTTCTGTATCCGAAACTTACTATTATCTTCTAGATTTTCTACATTTAGTATTAATTTTAATTAAAATTTAATTTTTTTGAAGATCTTTAAAGTGAAAAGAAGAAGAATTTTAATTAACTAAAAAAATCAAAATAAAGTTAATTAACTTTGAGCAGAGTTCGACCTCGTCAAAAATAGCATCGATAGTCATTCCCCAGCCGCCTTTGACGCCGTTTTTTCTCGATCATACGGTATAAGCATAATGCTATCCATGTATTCATGCATGGTGGGCGGAAAAAGGACTCTAGGGTGGGGATCCTTGACGGTTCTGTTTGACGATTCATTTGACACATTTGAATTTGATTTGAAATTTTGTGGATTTGTCACTCTTTACGAAGCTTATTTTATGTTATTTATTATTTATTCTACTACTGATAGTTGTATAAAGGTAGTAAATCTAGATGGAAATTCAGGCAGAACTTAAATTAACAGTGGCTACCATCGCGATTTATCGAAAAAGACTCTAAAATAGTTGGTTGTGTAGCGGTAGATCTCGGCAAAATCGAGTGAAATAATGGAACAATTTTTCGCTATAAGTGACTATATAATATACATACGTGTAGTAAACCGATCATTTACGAAATTCACTTAAATTAACTAATTATATATTTTTTGCATTTTTTGCTTTATTTCACATTACTCTTGTCAAAGATTCGATGTCAAAGAATTTAGATACGCCAATTTGACTTACCTGCTTCAGTAGGGTATCGGATGTTTATGGTTATAAATAATTATTATAACTTATCTATTTTTATTAGAATTTTATATTTTTATAACAATTTTAATAACTACCAATATTTATTCACAACGTAAAATAAAAAAAAAATATTGAGTCTACCCCACGTCTACCCTACATCATAGTTTTACATTTTTTACATAAAATTAGAACGGCACTGATAAACCGGAATTTAAGTCGGCCATATTTGAGGCCCATCGCGGTGGAGCTAAGATTTTTGATATGCTCCTTCCTTAGTCTTCTTATTCAAAGGGTTAATACTTCCGATCTTAACCCTAAAGCTTGATTTTCATGCGTCCGTTATCCGTTGACACAATGGCGCTCTGATTGGTCATAGCGTTTCGCGCCACGTTTATCCGTATTTTTTTTACTCCAGTCCGTTTGACAGTTTTTTGATAAATTTAATCTAACCTTAATAAAAATATACAAGAGCTAGCAACGTCGGGAAAATAAGAATTTTAAGAAAGATGGTTCTTTAATGTATCTTTTGCCGGTAGACTACTGCGGTTCACTACTGCGCATTACATCTGTACAGGGTATCCCATTTTCGTGTGTTTTATGGGATTTCTCGTTTATGAGTAGAGATAAACTAAATATGCTACGCATATGTTTGTCCTAGCCTCCTTAGTTCCTGAAATACAGGGCGAATTTGTGATGCGCAGTAGTGAACAGATGTTGAATACAGATATGATGCGCAGTAGTGAACGCAAGGTCGGACAACGGATGCATGAAAATCAAACTTAGGCTGGACGCACACAAAAAGCGTAAAATAGTTTTAGTCAAGAACATTTTTGACTAAAACTGTTGTTACGTGATACCTTAGTGCAAATCAATTGAAGCAACGCAAACTGATCAGTCGTGAGGAAAAAAAATGGTTTAGGCTCATTTAGTCTCAGTGAGGCTATCGACGTCGATCAATGGATCTGCTGCCGTGCATATTTGATTATAAATGAAACATTTTGCTTCTCTTTAAAACATGATGTTTTTATAAAGGACAAAAACGATTTTGCGCGAAACAAAAACGTTTTAAACGAAACAGTTTCTTCTGTGTTCCTTCTTTGTGTGCGTCCAGCCTTACTAATTGCCTTTGTTTGACATTCTAGGTGATAATGGGCCTAATATTTCCACCTTACATATTAAAATTAGAGTTTAAGTCCAAAGAAGAGCTTCAACTTATGCCTCAAACAACAGAAGAACACATGGAATTAGAAAATGAAGACGACGATAAGTCTGACACCGAGAAAAATCCAGATGGAGAGGTAAGAATAATTGTATATGATTAATAATTATAATTTATTCATATTTAATATTAATCCAAAAATATTTAACTTTCATTTGTCCAAACTGGAATAAATAATATACATATTTTTTTCTTTGTGCTTTTTAAGTTTGGTGTATTATTATTTATGTCCATTTTGGATTAAATACTTGTGATTAACTTCTGCACAGAAAATGATATTTTTAATACTAATTTTTATTTCTTAATATGTGGGTCTATCTGAATAAGTGTCGGATATTTTACGATTTTTGAAGTATTTTTAAGATAAAAAGTTTTTATAAACATGATATCTAAAATGCTGTCGTTTTCGAGATACAAGGTGGCAAAGTTGTGAAAAAAATGTTTTTTCATAATACCTTCGGAACGATTCCAGATATTTTTATGAAATTTGGTACATATCTTTTCGCCATTAAGGTGCATATTTTGATGACAAATATTTTCTCAAATCTTCTCTTAATTTGCAAAAAAAATTGTACCTACGACTTTTCTTAAAATATATTTTTTCGAATCCCCATTCAATTTAGAACAAATTTTGTCTATGATTTTTTGTCAGACGCATGGTTTTTTCGTAAAAAAATAAAAACCGTTTTAATGCATGGCGAAATTACTAAAATCTGATATTAGTAATATGTAGTATATTTATTTACTAAAATCTGCTATTATTAATGAACAGTGCTTTCCATAAAATCAATAAAATGAAAAATATACGAAATAATATACATGTACTGATTTCTTTCGAAAATCGACAACTATGAAATTATGAACCCTTCCCGGACACATTGTGAGACAGGAAATTGTAGAGAGAAACAAGCTCTATAACATAGGATACAACATTTTAATGAACAGTGCTTTCCATAAAATCAATATAATGAAAAATATACGAAATAATATACATGTACTGATTTCTTTCGAAAATCGACAACTATGAAACTATGAACCCTTCCCGGACACAAACGGTACATTGTGAAACAGGAAATTGTAGAGAGAAACAAGCCCTATAGAATTTTTAAGATACAACATTTTAATGAACATCAGTTCTTTCCATTAAATCAATAAAATGAAAAATATACGAAATAATATACATGTACTGATTTCTTTCGAAAATCGACAACTGTGAAACTATGAACCCTTCCCGGACATAAACGTACATTGTGAGACAGGAAATTGTAGAGAGAAACAAGCTCTATAACATAGGATACAACATTTTAATGAACAGTGCTTTCCATAAAATCAATAAAATGAAAAATATACGAAATAATATACATGTACTCATTTCTTTCGAAAATCGATAACTATGAAACTATGAACCCTTCCCGGACATAAACGTACATTGTGAAACAGGAAATTGTAGAGAGAAACAAGCCCTATAACATAAGATACAACATTTTAATGAACATCAGTTCTTTCCATTAAATCAATAAAATGAAAAATATACGAAATAATATACATGTACTGATTTCTTTCGAAAATCGACAACTATGAAACTATGAACCCTTCCCGGACACAAACGGTACATTGTGAAACAGGAAATTGTAGAGAGAAACAAGCCCTATAACATAAGATACAACATTTTAATGAACATCAGTTCTTTCCATTAAATCAATAAAATGAAAAATATACGAAATAATATACATGTACTGATTTCTTTTGAAAATCGACAACTATGAAACTATGAACCCTTCCCGGACATAAACGTACATTGTGAGACAGGAAATTGTAGAGAGAAACAAGCCATATAACATAGGATACAACATTTTAATGAACAGTGCTTTCCATAAAATCAATAAAATGAAAAATAATACGAAATAATATACATGTACTCATTTCTTGCGAAAATCGACAACTATGAAATTATGAACCCTTCCCGGACACAAACGGTACATTGTGAAACAGGAAATTGTAGAGAAAAACAAGCCCTATAAGATACAACATTTTAATGAACATCAGTTCTTTCCATTAAATCAATAAAATGAAAAATATACGAAATAATATACATGTACTGATTTCTTTCGAAAATCGACAACTATGAAACTATGAACCCTTCCCGGGCACAAACGGTACATTGTGAGACAGGAAATTGTAGAGAGAAACAAGCTCTATAACATAGGATACAACATTTTAATGAACAGTGCTTTCCATAAAATCAATAAAATGAAAAATATACGAAATAATATACATGTACTCATTTCTTTCGAAAATCGATAACTATGAACCTACGAACCCTTCCCGGACACAAACGGTACATTGTGAGACAGGAAATTGTAGAGACAAACAAGCCCTATAACATAGGATACAACATTTTAATGAACAGTGCTTTCCATAAAATGAATAAAATAAAAAATCGACAACTATGAAATTATGAACCCTTCCCGGGCACAAACGGTACATTGGGAAAAACGTTTTTTTTTCTCAGATTTTTAACTCCCTGTATCTCGAAAACTAAGCATTTTAGAACACGCGTTTGTTTCAATTTTTTACCTTAAAATTACTTGAAAAATTACCCTGTGGAATACCGGACATTTTTTCAGAAACACCCTGTATTTGTATACATACATATTTATTTATAACATATGTAACATGGAAGAATGTAGTGTGTAAGTGACTAACGCATCCTTTTTCTGGACTTTTTGTAGCATAATAAACCAGTAAGAAAGCATTACATAGAATTTTATCCGTCAATAGTAAGCAGGGATTGTTTTAATTCCATTTTTTTATTATAATTTTGCACTCTCCCACTATCACTCAGAAAACACAACTAGTTTTACTTTTGCTTAAAGATAAACGCACAAATATTTCAATTTTATTTATTTTAGCTCTTTATTTATTACACTTAATTTTTTATCTTATAAAATACACAAAAAATTTACATATGTATTTCTCTTTACATTAACTATGCGCATCACTGTTCTGTTTAACAATTCTAATGTCTGTCCAACGAGAAGATCCTTGACAGTGATAGATGTGTCTGTCATTTTAATTTCAAAGTAGGTTATTTTATTTTACAAAGAAATAAGTTGGTACATCTGGAACGCATAGCAGGAAATTAATATATGTCAAAGATATATGTATTTAAAATTTGACTGACAAGTAACTTCAAAATATTGTGAAAAAAACTGTATAAAACTGAAAAAATGTAATCGAGTTATTTTATTTAATAAAAAACGGTATGTGTTAATACAAAACAAACAAAAACAAGACACCACATACCAAAAAATATATAAAAAGAACTATCTTACTTTCAAGCTTTATGAAACTTCCCGCATTTATGATTATATTTATCAATATAACTTATGTACAAACACAAATTTGTAATATTCCGCAGGAATAAATAAAACAACATAAATAAAACAAACTATTTTATTAATAATAACACTTACCAAATTTTATAACTCACGGGTTGATTAATTAACTTTAATCTTAATTTTTTTAAACCGGTACCTTTTAACATTATTTTTCTGCAGTACTAAAATCCATTATTTACCTATCGTGTGATGTCGATATTTTACAGCTACTCAAGTTTTTAGTATGTGTTTAGTATGGTCCTTATTACCATATTCGAGATGGCACTTATCTACGACGAGATGGTATACGAACTTTATTGATAGTAACTTTATTGGTGTATCTGTATAAGACTTTCTGCCTGGGCAGCGAGTATTAACCATAAACTGTGCTCTGGGTTCTACAGTTAATTTTCACTCGATTTTTCCTCCACTTGACTTCAAAAGACACAAAACACACGTAATAACACGAATCAAAATGCGTCATCTTCCAAAACGCAGGGTATTTGACAAGTTTTCACAAAATTATAACCTATAATTTGGCAAGACTTTGACAAACGTCAAAAATCTAAAGGCGAGTTCATACGCATCGGCGTCCGTTTGTCGTTCATCGTTCAGTCAAACCAATAAAATTGAAATACGATCTGTCATTTTTGAAATAAACCAATAAAACTGGTTAAAAACAACAAGTGACGACGCATGACGAATTTATATTTATCATCCATAGTTAACTTAAAAATTATTAGAAACTTTTTTTAGTAAAATAAATAGATTGGTATGGGACGTCATCTCCTTTTCTTCTGTCATCTTCTGTCGAAATCTTACCTCAGAAAAAAACAGAGTATATTATTAAATGATATTTTGCACCTTTCTGGTGGGTTCATTTCTTGAAAAATATCTCTTTGGAACTGGAAGAGAAATCAACAAAATAAAAAAGTTATTTTGTATGAACACCACTTCGTTGAATCGAAACGGACACCAGTTTGTCAGTTTTTTTTACTAGTAAAACAAATTTGTCCAATAGGCAAAAAAATGCATAACGTTTCAGGAGGTATATCTCCTCCAGTCGTTAGAAGCAAAAAAAACCGTTTAAAATGTCTAAATATAACTATTCAAGAAAACTTTAGTTTTTAGCAGATGCAAAATGAAACACTAATTCGACACAATACACCAAAACACTTTACTTTTGCACTGGACGCGCGTCTCGCTAACAATGATGCATAGCATGTTTTTATTTTGCTATTGTAACACTAAAGGTTCCAACCCCCAAGCTGTTTTTCGTTTGAATACTTTAAGTAGTGGCATTTTCCAAAAATAACTTTTTTATTTTTGAGATTTCTGTTTCAGTGGCAATGCTTTTTTTCAAGAAATGCTCTCTTAATTGTAATATTGTTAATTAAATTGTTAATTAATTGTTATAGCAAACGCCACGAATGTTTGGGAATAATTCATCGGTCGCTACCATGTGAACTCATAAAATAATTAACTAGAAAGAAGTGTCAACTCTGTGTTAAATCGTGGAAACACGATACGCCACCGAAAGCCTTCGTTGTCGTCTGGAGAACTAATTTTCCAATTGACAGGTTGACATGATAAGGACATGATGGCTTAATTTTCATTTCCGTTTCCGGTTATTCAATGGCGGGCCCTCTTTCAGTTCAAATGTATTTTGTATTTTTTCTTTTCATAAATAAAACCAAAA